TTTTGTAAATATCTGTCTAACCAAAATATGCTAGAAATAGATTAGTTGCTTAACAAAGTTGCTTATTCATAATAAGCTATTCAAAAATTTTAAAAAACATAAATTTTTGTTTCCTTTAACTTTAAAAAGAAATTTGCTCAGAGGTACAGAAGTTTCAATAACTTTCCTGTGAATAAAACTTAAATTTGAAATGAACAGCACTGAACACTTTTACAGTGTTTTCTTCTATGGAAAAGGAAACTTTTACTTACTTTAAACTGCTTCAGATATTCATTTATTTAACTCTTCCTCCACGTTTCCCCATCATAAGATACATTTGAAATGAGTGAAATCATACAGAATTTGTTATGATGCTGCAATTCAGGAGGAAGTATTTGGAAAGAGGACTGGCCCATATTCTCCCCAAATATTATATTCTAATCAACAAAAGAGTAGTTTTCCCCTACATTTTTAAAAAGAGATTTCACATTTCTGCTTGAAATAATTAATAGCAAAATATGTCAATTCTCCTGTCTTCTGAAATAATTGTTTTAGAATTCTTATTGCCGCTTCTCTCTCCTCAAAAGTCTTATTAAAAAAAAATAGAAGAGCATTCCCCCAAATCAATTGGTAACACATGGAATTTCCACGTTATTTTCATTTGCTGGGGCTTCTGAGCATGGCTTTCACAGTGCCGCAGCATAAATCCAGCAATGTATGTTGACACATTCTTCTCATGTACCGTGCTCAGCTGTAGGCTTAAGACAACAGCAGCTTCTGGCTTTTTTTAGCTTTCCAGGCAAGGGCCCAAAAACAACTTGTTAAAATAGGTGTTTTAAGAAAGATAGAAACGAAAGAACTATAGTCCTGATTGAGTGCTTTGAAATGTCCTCAATGCCTGTGGATCCTTCCTCTAGAATACCAGACTTGCTCTGAAAATGATAAACTGGACCTTTATTGTCGAAGTTCCAAAGGGAGGCAAGAACACATATGCTCTAATGCTGCACTGTGTTCTCTAACATTACACTAAATATGGAGATTAAAACTGCCCAGAGAACCAACCCTGATAAAAATCCCTAAGACCTTATGCCTGGCAACTTCATTCCTTCTGTGTCTCTTCTTCAAGCACCTTGTTCACTTGGCTTTCCAAGATGGCTCCTGGCCTGGATTTCTCCCGTCTCTCTGACCAACCCTTCTCCATCTCTTTTGCTGGATCCTTCTCATTTCCCCAGATTCTGAACATGGAGTACATCTGGTTCCATCTCTGGCTTGGTTTAGTCTTTTTTTCTTCACCCACACTCACTCCTTAGCTGATCTTGTTTATTCTCACCACACTTAGTAAGCCATCCCTTTCCTTCTCGTGGCTTTAAATTCAATCTATGTTAATGATTCCTAAGTATGGAACTCAAAACACCTCCCATGGTTTCCAGGCTCACAAATCTAGTCGCCAGCTGAATGTCTCACTGGCATCTCAACTTTAATGTGTCTATAATTGAGTTCCTAATATTGCTCCCATCCCTCAATTTGCTCCTTCCACTGTCTTCTCCATCTCAGTTCATGGCAACCCCAACTTCCCAGTTGCTCAGGCCAGAAACCTTGAAGCCATCCTTCATATTTCTTCCTCTCACATTCCCTATCAGCAAATCTGGTTGCCTCTGCCTCAAAAATGTAGCAAGAATTTGACTGACCCAGTACTGCAACATTATACAATTCTAAGAGGCCCCTGTGACACTGAACATATATTATGCCTCTGGAGGCTCTGATTGTAAGACCACTCCCACTGTCACCATCCTGGTCCAACTACCACCATCTCTTACCTCATATTAAGGTTACAGCCTTGTAACTGGTATCTTTGCTTCCACCTTTTTCCTTTCAGTCTATCCTCAATAAAATGCCATTCTGGTAAAAACCTAAGTCATATCATATCATTTTTTACCTCAGAACTTTCCAGGGCTTTCTCAGTTCATTCAGAGTAAAAGCAAACATTATATGGTCACCTATCACCACTCTGACATCATCCACAAACACCTTGCCTCTCTTTCTCCACTCTTTGTGCTCTGACCACTTCATTGTTCTTTGAGCATGCCAGGAACACTACTATCACAGACCTGGTACTTTCTGTTCCCCCAGTCTGGAATAAACTTACCCTAGATTTCTCTCTTCCTTTAGATCTTTACTCAAATGTCACTGCTAGGTGAGGGCTGCCTTGATTACCCTATCTATAATTTTAACCATCCCATCCTATACTTCCCTTGGCCTCTCTGCTTTTTTTTTTTTTTTTTTTTTTTAACACATATCACTCTCTAAGGTTTTGGAGGATAGTGCATTATCCTTCAGGATCCTGCAATAAACATTTTCAGATGACCTTTATATGGTGTTATGTCCCTAATCGGTAAAATACATGGGTCCAGGAATCAAGGGAAGGAAGCAGAAATGGCCCATTTACTACAACTCCCACTAATCTACTTGGAGAACTTGTGTGTACTGTCCTGTCAGCTCCAAGTTCTGTGGGTTTAGAGGTCATGGTTTACAAAAGGGGCAAACACTTTCCCCACAGGACACAGCGAGAGAGTCCTATAAATTATAGCTGACACTTCAGACCCCTCTTGACAAGAGACTAGCAAACAAGAAATGGAGCACCACCCTGGCTGGATATCCGGCCCTAATCATCAAGAGGAGGTAACAGCTACTGTTACACAAAGGGCACAAGAAGGAATATGTTGACATTTGGTGATTCACATGGGCACCTCTGTATATTCCCTTGCTCAATTTTGATAGTAAATGGACAAATATTCAAGGCACAGCCTGAGAAGAGCATGGTTACCAGAGGCAAAATCATGATGCTAGGCCACAGAGACCAGCAGAGAAGCTGAGAATGAGAGTAACCTAGACTGGATCATATGGGAGCAAGAGTGAATTTCATTTGCAGCTCTGAGACCAATGACAGGAATAGGGGCTGTCATTCACATCCCACCAATCTTTCTCTTACAAGTTTTCCCCAGGAAAAAAAGCTCCACAAAATCCTGGAAGATCTGCTCTCAGAACTTTCATAATGAAATGAATCTGAGCAACACAAGAGGAGGACTTCAGCGGAGCCTGTGGTGTGCTACCCAGATCTCTTTCGAGACAAAGGACTTATTTCCCCAGCATTTGGGAGTGCAGTCATCAGAGAGTGCTCAGCTGTCAGCCCTCTGTGGGAATTGCCTCCGCTAAAGAGTTGCCTTGCCTGAGTTCATGTGCCCTTAGGAAGTCTACATCCAATGACTGGTTAATGTACAGTGTAACTAGCCCCCGTCCCCATCCTGACTGGAGACAACTCTGAAGGGCCATCCCAGCTTTAGAACTCCCTGTGAGTTTGGGTGAGTCCTTGGTTCAGACTGCATTATAGCCCAACTTTTCTTTGTGCCCAATCATGCTCCTTTCCCTTCCCTTCCCCAGGTATTGACTCCAAGGGCTCTCCTTAGCAAGCTTCTTACACACTAATTTCCATCTCAGATTCTTCTTTCCAGGGAACCAACCTACAGCCCCTTGAAACCCAGAAATCTTGACTGCTTCATCATACCTTAAAACTATGCTGAGAAAACCAGTTGATTGGACAGTGTACACGAAGCCTAGGTATGGGGCTTCTCTAAAACCTCTTAGTGGAAGAGGAAGAATACGGCAAAATTAGACTCTAATGCCCTTATTTATTCAAAAGTAAAATTTAAGAAAGAATTTTGCTGAAAATAATCAATGGTTACCGAGCTCCAGCAAAATTTGCTCTTGTATTAACTAATATATAATACAGATACACTATATCAAGGACCAACTACCATTGTTCACAGATAGGTAAAATTGCCTGATAAAGATTTCACTGGTACATCACACAGCCATTGTTAGGTTACAACAAACGACCCCAGGATCTCAGTGGCTAACAAAAGAGATTTGTTTCTCCCACATAAGGATATGCTGTGGCTCTGTTTCACATGATTTTCTCATCCCAGGATCCAGATGGAAGGACATGCCCCTCACTGGGGCACGTTGTTCTCATTGCAGAGGGAAAGAGCAGAGGGAAACGGTGGGGTGGCTCTTAAAGCATTGTCTTGAATGAGGCACGTGTCACATTGGCCAAAGTGAGTTATGAGGCCAAGGTTGACAGATTCAACTCCTTCCCCAGGCAGGGATTCTATAGGAATAAATCCACTTGGGGTTGGGGGCAGGGGGAGGCCGACAATGTTTTGAACAAATACAGTTCACCACAACTGGTAACATGAAGGTCACAGAATCTGACATCTTTAATAAACATTTAACCTCCCTAAGTTAATCCTATACTGAAATCACATGAAGAGAAGTTCCTGTGTCAATCACGTCAACAAAACATTCTGCAGCACCCTTCCTGCAGGCACATACTAATTCTAACATCTCAGAGATGTTAGAATACAAAGAATATATATGGGGAGGTAGGTGGGGAGTAAAAGAGACTTTAAAGAAAACAGCAAAGCAGCAATGTACTTCTAAATTCACCAAAATGTGTTTCTAGTCATCAGAGTCATTTCCACTCTGAGTTTGGCAAAAATTCAGGATGTCTGAAGATAAAGAATGGGCTTTTAAGCAAGATCCAATGAACTAACATTCTCCCTGGCTTCTTCTTATGTTTACCATTCTTCGTCATCATCATCATCATTATTATTAATATTATTATAAATATTAATAGCATAATTTTTATTAGTCGTGCTTTTCTCCTCCCATTTGTGATAATCTTATATAGGAACAATTTTTAATTTGTTCTAAAAGACTTGGGATTGAGGGGCGCCTGGGTGGCTCAGTCATTAAGCGTCTGCCTTCAGCTCAGGTCATGAGCCCAGGGTCCTGGGATGGAGTCCCTCATCGGGCTCCCTGCTCAGCGGGAAGCCTGCTTCTCCCTCTCCCACTCCCCCTGCTTGTGTTTTCTCTCTTGCTGTGTCTCTCTCTGTCAAATAAATAAAAAATCTTTAAAATAGAAGCGGGGCTTTTTCCAGACATGCCTCTCTCCTGGTTTCATGGCGTTTCCTCACAGCATGGCCCCCAAACGCCAGTCTTCACTCCCGCCTCAAACGAAGAAACCGGGACTACCTCCTGCCCCCAAGCCACAGGAGACGTCGACATCTCAGCACTTGCCTAAGAGAGAAAAAGAACAGCAAGAAGCAGTTGAACATATTGATGAAGTACAAAATGAAATAGACAGATTTAATGAACAAGCCAGTGAGGAGATTTTGAAAGTAGAACAGAAATATAACAAACTCCGCCAACCATTTTTTCAGAAGAGTTCGGAACTGATCGCCAAAATCCCCAATTTTTGGGTAACAACATTTGTCAACCATCCACAAGTGTCTGCACTGCTTGGGGAGGAGGATGAAGAGGCGCTGCATTATTTGACAAGAGTTGAAGTGACAGAATTTGAAGATATTAAATCAAAATATTAAATCCAAAGAATTTCATCTGAATGAGAGTGGTGATCCATCTTCAAAGTCCACCGAAATCAAATGGAAATCTGGAAAGGATTTGATGAAATGTTCAAGTCAAACACAGAATAAAGCCAGCAGGAAGAGACAGCATGAGGAACCAGAGAGCTTCTTCACCTGGTTTACTGACCATTCTGATGCAGGTGCAGATGAGTTAGGAGAGGTCATCAAAGATGATATTTGGCCAAATCCATTACAGTACTACTTGGTTCCTGATATGGATGATGAAGAAGGGGAAGGAGAAGAAGAAGAAGATGATGATGATGAAGAAGAAGGATTAGAAGATATCGATGAAGAAGGAGATGAGGATGAAGGTGAAGAAGATGAAGATGATGATGGGGGGAGGAAGGAGAGGAGGATGAAGGAGAAGATGACTAATGGAACACTGATGGATTCCAACCTTCCTTTTTTAATTTTCTTCAGTCCCTGGGAGCAAGTTACAGTCTTTTTTTTTTTTTTCTCCTCTTGTGCTCATTCGCCCTGTTTTTTGAAGTCTCTTTTCTCTCCCTTTATACCATGGTTCTCAACTTATTTTGGGGGGAAATACCTTGAGCAGAATACAGTGGGAAAAGAATCTCTACCCCTTTCTGTTCCAAATTCATTTTTATCCCTTCCTGTCTCAACAAAAACTTTATGGAATCAACACCACCGTGCTCTGTGGGAAAAAAGAAAAACCTTCTGCTCCCTTAGCTCTGCTGGAAGCTGGAGGGTGCTAGGCCCCTGTGTAGTAGTGCATAGAATTCTAGCTTTTTTCCTCCTTTCTCTGTATATTGGGCTCAGAGATTACACTGTGTCTCTATGTGAATATGGACAGTTAGCATTTACCAACATGTACCTGTCTACTTTCTCTTGTTTAAA